TCATGCTGGGGTATGGGGCCTTCCACAAACTGTTCCCACAAAGTTGAAGACATAGTATGCTATAGTCTTGGTATGCTGAAGCATTAAGTGTTTCCTTCACTGGAAGTAAGGGGCCTAGCCCAACCCCTGAAAAACCACCCCATCCCATCATCCCTCCGGTCAGGCAGGTAACGATCTGCTGGAATCCGTCAAAGCCCAACTCACCCATCTGCCAAACAGAAGCATGATTCAGTAAACAATCACAGAACAGGTTTCCACTGCTCCAGAGTCCAGTGGTGGCATACTTTACAGCACTCAATCTGACGCTTGGCATTGTACTTGGTGAGGCTTGCATACAGCTGCTCGGCCATGGAAACCCATTCCATGAAGCTCCTACCGCATGCTGTTCCTGCATGGCTTGATCTTATATACTTGTGGTAATGGGTCTGATTAAAATACACCTCAATTCAATAATTAGGAGGTGTGTCCAAGTACATATATAGTGTATATACATAGCCTTTATTGAATAATTCAATGATTTCTATTCTTTATGCAGGTCTATTTTTTTTCTTTCTGTTTATGGTGAGGCAGAATTATGACTTTAAATAAATGAAATTATTATGAATTATGAATACAATTGTTAGTATCCAAATAAAATCATAATGAGTAACCAAACTGTGCTGCTCAACATATCCTCCTGAAAGTTGTGTTTAAGAATGTCCATGATCATTGCCCTGTTTTGTAAAAGTATTGGGAAATAAGAGAAGTTTGCTGGAGAAAAAAAAAAGTTCATGTTCACTGTTGCACTCTATTACATATCATGTTCATGCTTTTAATTGCATCAGCACATGCAGGTCATCACTAAACAGCGTGTTTGTCAAGTTCCTGCTCATTTGTTTATTCATCTGGACTGATTATGTGCTAATGAAACAAAGCGATCAGCATCCTGAGAAAACCTTCTCTCTTAGGTTTCACTCTGCTGTGTGTGTGTGACACTGTCCCGGGCCTCGGACGACTCTCTGGTTACTCACAGGTGGCAGGCCAGCCCTGCTGCTCCTTCTCAGACTGGGGCGGGACCCTGGAGTCGTGGACTGAGTTACAGCCCTGACAGCTGTCTGCTAACTGATTGAGGTTTTTTGTTTTTTTTTGATGATGAAGGTACAAAGGTATGATACTGGAAAATTACACAAACCATTGACATTTTGTGTTTGTGTTATTGGTATTTTAAATGGTGTTTTTAAACGGTGAGCGTGATTTGACCAAGTACAACATGTTCCTGGATCAACATCCTTGTTGATCCTGGAACATCATTCCAATCAACCAATCAGAATTGAGGGATAACTTTTCAGGAAATGTCAGTTTTAGGCTTACGATCAGGGTTAGGTGCTTCTACACCCTTGTTAATCAGCTATCATTTCCCTCTGATTTTAGGAATAAATTATGGGTAAGGTTAGGTTTAGGGGTAGGGATTGGGTTAAGTCTCTATTTCTGGACAGTAATGTTGATCCAGGATCAACAAAATATGTGGCTGAAGCTTACCATTAAAAATGTTCCTGACAGGGTTATTATAGTTAATTAAAACTAAAGCCATAAAATACATTAAAATCAATTTAATTACTTGAAATAATATAAAAAATAAAATATATAAAAATTTTATGTATTCAAATAGCTAAAACTGAAATAAAATGAATAAACAAAAATAAAAAAGAGACAAATTTAGACGTTTATGAAAAAAACTAAAACTAATGAAAATGACAAAGACACACAACACATTACTAAAAGCTTAAAATTCAAATATAAATATGAATAAATAAGAAAGTAATTCAAAATATTAATAAAAACATAACAGTGTCTCAATTATATACTGAAAAAAAGATAACCTTAAAAATGGGATTTTATTCTAATAAAAAATGTTATTCAACATTACTGAATCATCCTAAATATTAAGTTACACCAACATAACTAAATTTAACAGTAAGCTCAGGTAGAAATTGCTTAACAATTGCAGGTGACCACTTTTTACAGTGTATTAAAATAACACAATCTGACCGAACAATTATACAGCGCATTTCAGCATGAATTATTTTATTAATCTGTCATAATGTGAGGCAGTTACAAAAAGATGGGACAATTAAAAACTTAAATTATTAACTAACTTTTTAAAAAATTATGATATGACTACTTAAACTTTTTTGATAGTTACTGAATCAGTTTCAACAGCTACACGAGTTTTCACGGTTGTAACCTTGCATTCACCCTCACATTTGGTGTGCTCAATCAGTTGTTGTTCTCAGGATGGACAAAATAAGCTGTTTCATAATTTGCGCTGTTCATATTTCACAAACAATAGTACATCTCCCAACTGTCCTGAACCCAGAACATCCTCTTTAAAGTATTATGAGTCATATAATAGACCTGTGATGTAGTACCAGCACCTGTCCATTGCAATGTAAAATGAAGGCCTCCAACCACTTTTTTCTCGTGTGATGTTGACTCTGAACATGACCCTGTTAAAAAACACTTGTGCGATTGCATGAATCCCTACAGCGTCACCTGACTGCACACTAGTCTCGTTCACATTCTATCTTGGGAATAATGGAAATGTTCACCATTTTAGTGGCACAATAACACTTACTCACGTTTCTTGGGCACGAGTATACTAATTTTGTACTGACTTTGTGCAGTTGTTGATTTGTCACCAATGGTTTTGGTTTCCCTTGTTTCTTATCGATTTTATAAAACAAAATATTTGAGCAACATCACACGAGTAGCCGTGTGATATCGCTCTATTTCAGCATGGCTGTGATTCAGCCGTAGGCACGAGATGCATGCATTTTACTGATGTCTCTCACTCTCTCTCTCTGTAGGCTACATTATCAGTATCATTAATGTCAGCAGAATTATTCAGGGCCTCAACAATGGAGTTAATCTAGCTATTGGTGTGAGAGTGTTGTAAGCAGCTGTTTTATTGTGTGACACTGACCTCTTTGTTGAGGCTGAATGAGTTATGTGTGTGTGTGACAGTCATTACAAAGCTTTGTGGATTATATGGGCGGTCAGTTCATGACATAGCAGACATAGCAATGAGACCTTCCCTTATGAAAATAAAGTGTATGTAAATGTATTGAATGTGCACCAGTAGTGTACTTCAATCTTAAATCTTAAAAGTAGATTTTTAAAAATATGGATAAAAAGATAATTTTCCGTTGAGACAACCCAGCCAGCATTTCAACAATTATTCATGGGTGAAGCTACGTTATGGATCAAGGTTGAATCACTATTGAACTTTGTTTTGATTTTTCAAATCGAATCAATGATAATATTGCAATGTTTTGGTTCAAATATCTTGTTAAACAATGTTGATAAACACGTCTTTTGTTAAAGGGGTCATATGATGCGATTTAAATTTGTCCTTTCTCTTTGGAGTGTTACAAGAGTGTTACTCTTGGTGCATAAAGAAGATCCGTAAAGTTGCAAAGACTAAAGTCTCAAATCCAAAGAGATATTCTTTATAAAAGTTAAGAGTCAGCCACACCTACCTAAAATGGCTCGTTCTAACACACCCCCACATACCTACGTCACTATGTGGGAAGATTTGCATAACGCCACCCAAATGTTCATGCAAAGAAAGAAGGCGTAACTTTTATTCTCGCTGTAGTATTGTTGCCGCCGGCATGTCGTGAAGGCACTGTGTGATTCGTTGTGAAAGCGAAACTACTTTGTTTGGCCTTCCAAAAGAGGACGATATCTGCTTTGTCATCCCTGAAGCTGATCCGTGCTGGTTGCTGAGGAAATACAACAACTTTGCGCTGTGGATCACCGGATCGGCTTTCACCATGGACGAAGCGGAGTCCAGCCCGGGGTCGTCACATGTGGTTGCCGCAAGCCTCCTTTGTCGAATCCACCGGCCGCGCCGTTCTCAAGCCTGCCGCCTCTGCTCACTCTAGCCCTCCGGCCATTCCTCACTCTAGCCCCCGGCCTCTGCTCACTCTAGGCCGCCGTATAAATCATTATAATCCATAATTATGTCCTCACTGGATGCAATGAATGCCTCGTTTATAATGGGTTTTAATGTTTTTGAATCATCGCTCCGG